AGAAAGTCAAGATCTTGTGGGACTTCAGAATTCAGACTGACAGGCACTTGGCCCACAACACACCTGACATATCAATAGTTGAAAAGAAAAATGTATGGTTCATTGCAATAGCTGGAGATGCACGAATTGAAGATAAATAGCAAGAAAAAATCACAAAGTACCTGGACTTGAAAATTGAAGTTGAGCGACTATGGAAAAAGAAATCATGTGTTATCCCGATTGTAATTGGAGCCCTTGGAGCAATACCTAAAGGGCTACCTCGCTATTTGCAAATTTTAAATTTATCAGACTTGAACATTCTGATTCTACAAAAAACCATCCTACTTGGAACAGTTTATATCCTCCGATGTTACCTTAACAGTTCCTAGGTCCTTGGTTAGGACTCGAGCTGTTGAACTACCAACCAGCCCCAAAGGCTGTGAATCTCATCAAAGTGTAATCTTTAGTGAGATTCACAGCCTTTGGGGCTGGTTAGTAGCTCAACAGCTTGAGTTCTAACCAAGGACCAAGGAACTGTTAAGATAACATCGGAGAATATAAGCTGTTCCAAGTAGGGTGGTTTTTTGTAGAAGCAGAATGTTCAAGTCTGGTAAATTCAGGTTGTTGTTGTTGTTGTTGTTGTTGTTCTTTTATTAATCTTTGGTGAGATTCACAGCCTTTGGGGCTGGTTGGTAGCTCAATAGCTTGAGTCCTAACCAAATACCTAGGAATTGTTAAGGTAACATCGGAGGATATAAGCTGTTCCAAGTAGGGTGGTTTTATTATTATTATTATTATCATTGTTGTCCTAAAAAAAACTTTGGAGGGAAAGAGGATGAAACATATGCTTGAATTATTTGACATTTGTTCCAGGAATTTGCTTCCTTGTCAGACCTCATTTTTCTCCTAAGGTTGCCTTCTCTCTCCCTCCTCCCTTGTTTGATTCTTGCTTCACAGACTACTTTAAAAGGTCAAAAATATCTTACAGCAAATCCTTGTGTAGACAAAAGAATCCCCTGACATTCAAGTTGCATAGTTTTGTATGTATTTTCCTAGTAGATACATTTTTGCAGGTGATTTCCCCCAGTAGTTTTTGGGGAGAAAGTTGTAAATGCATAAATGTGATGTAGTTCTCTTGTACATTCAGAAATTACAATTTTTATTAAACTGAATTCACAATGCAAACACAATGCAAACTATTTTTTATATACTTGAATAGTACATTGAAAGTTCAGGGATGCTACAAAGTAAGAAAAAAGCTTGCATAAATACACTTTTTTGTAACCTTAAGCATTAGAGCTTATTTTTTCAAAGCTATCAATTCACAAACAGTTAAGATTTTCAAGAAAAAGTATATACATTAAAAAAGGGGGTTTTTTTGTTTATTACTAGCTGATAATCCAGCGCTACCCGGGTATTTATTTATCCCAACCTTTCTTCCATAAATGTTGGATTTTCCCCCTTACCAGAGGGAGCCCCATTGTGGAGTACTGTGAAGCTATTATTATGGTAACTCCACAGCGCTGTATAGTAGAAGCCATTTTAAGGCAGTACAGTAGATGCCATTTTAAGGCACAACAGGCTGCGTCTTAACAGAACACACACACTCTGAGGGGTCTTAGGGGTGTCTTACCCCCACAATATTTGTTTCCAGAGAGTAAGTCATCTGTGTACCAAGTTTGGTCGAAATTGTTCCAGAGTTATGCTGGAACACACACACACACACACACACACACACACACACACACACACACACACACACACACACACACACACACACACACACACACATGATAGATAGATAGATAGATAGATAGATAGATAGACAGACAGACAGACAGACAGATAGATAGATAAAAATAATAATAAACTTCAGAAATATTTACTTGCCTATTATTCATTCATCCCCACACATCCTCCCTGACCCTTGCAGCATGTCCCTCACACTACAGGAATAACATGCCTCCAGTACTTCTGGTTTGACATCATGGCAAGATCGGACATAAGAAGTGGGGCTCTGTGAACTTGCACCAAATCTTCCTCATTGGAGGGGCCTTCAAGGGTTTAAAGTCACCCTGTTGGGGTGATGAAGAAAGGAGAGGCACCCTGCAGGTTATGGAGAGCAGTGGCTCTCCAGCTGGACCAGGGATTCCCTCCCATTTAACAATGAAGAGGAGAGGCAGCTATTATGGCTTCTGTAAAGCTGGGGCAGCTGGAGAAACAAATAATATGTTAGAGAGGTATAGATGAACTGGGTGAGAAGATTATTTATTTTACCTACAACTTAACCCCAAAGAAAATAAAAGCTGGAAAAGAGACTCTTTGAAGTGGCAAATAATTACAGAAAGAAAAATTATAGACCCAAAAGAAAATGAACAAAAGGGAAAGCACAAAATATTTAAAATATAGAAAGATTAGATATTTTGGTAAGGCATTTTAAAATGCTGGAATTATTTGTCTGAATATGTACTATTTGCAAAAAAACTGAAATAAATATTTGTCAGATTTGGTGTGACGTTGAAATTCAAGCTGAAGGCACCTGCTGGTGAATGGAATATATACTAAACTCCTACAACCTTGGGAAGTATTGCTAAGACAAAGGGAAAAAAGTGGAAATAAATAATACCTGTAGGACTGCTGTGCTATCTACTATTCTATATCTTTCTCCTTCATGGTTATTTGAGGTTTAACTTGGAGATTATGGAAGGCATTTAAAGAAAGGTACTTTGAAATGCCAGGATCTATGACTGAAGTGACAGAGTGAACTTAAGGAGACATTTGGAAATCTTCCTGGATTACCTAAATGGAACTAATTTATTAGCTGTGGAACACAAAGAACTATTGCATTCCCCTGAGGACCAACACTAGGATTGAGCAAATGGTTTCCAAGCTGGCTTTCTGAGGTCATAGACCAGTGATGGCTAACCTTTTCCAGACTGAGTGCCCAAAGCGTGTGCATGCCAGAACCTCCAAATTGCAATGTACTCCCTAGCATGTGCATGGTACACATATGCATTTGCAGCTCCCGCATGTGCCCTGTGGCCCCCTGCATTCACGCATGGCCCCCTGCATACACCCCTCCCCTTACATGCATGCGTGTCCATGGGATTGTTATTAGAATAGTGCACAAAAACTCTGAACAATTAAACAATGAACACACGCTAATACAAATACATATATAAACACCACAATTACGTAAGTATCATTAATGTAAATAAATATTATTAATAATAGTATTATTATTAATTATTTGTATTTAAATGAATTATACCCAGATCCCTCACTGTTCATATAATGATACTGATGTATATCCCAAAATGAATAAAAAATTACCATCAACCTCCAATTAGAATCAATGAGGGAAACGGAACAGAACAGCAATACTGACATACTACAAAAATATATAAATCCATAAAATAACTATAACATGAGAAATCTTTTAAAGAATTGAAGACACAATTCACTAAAGTGAACTTTTGTAATTTACATTGATTTCACTTACTGAAACTATTTTTTTTTTTAGTTAACAAGTCCTAATGCCTATATAGATGAATCAGTTCCAATAAAATGTCAGAAGAGAAATAAGATTACTTGACTGGGACCTGCTAGCTGAGGTATTCTGACAAGTGCAGGGTCCCAGGTGGAGTACAGGAGGAGGAGAAGGGTTTAAGCAATTTAGTCATATTATAAAATGTCATAGATGGTATGACACAGATAGTCTGTGGCATTACAGAAAATTAGAATTGGGGTGGAAAAGACAGAAATAACTCCAGAATCCAAATCGGACTAAACAAGTGTTTTCAAAGCATTAAGATGCTTGTTTCTTGCTGCTCTTTGCCTCCAAGGCTCACCAAGGATCAGCTATAAATAAGAGCCGAAGTGGCACAGTGGTTAAATGCAGCACTGCAGGCTACTTCAGCTGACTGCAGTTCAGCAGTTCGGCTGTCCAAATCCC